AGGAGTACAGAAAAAGTGAGGAAGAAGAGAGAGAAAAAGTTGTAATATTGCAGGAAATCCAGAGGGGAGAGAAGAAAAAGTGCAGATTGGTCACCTGGAGTTAACTCTGTTTATGTGAATTTAACGGAAGAGACCTAATTAATACAATTTATACTACTTTGGGATGAAATAGAAGCATTTTTAAAACTGGGTACTAAACGAAAATTCAACTCTTAACTTAGGAACGAAATAACCTATTAAGCCTATAATATATTATCAGAACATATTACCCAACATTTATAATCATAATCTTTTGTACACAAAAAACATGTACAAGGCTCATACAATGTAAATATCTAGGTAACTAATCAACGTATAATTGAAAACCTATAAAATCCTAATTGTTGCAGAACTTGTTGTCTTCGCACGTTGTCATTGTCTAAAATCTAGTCCATACATATTTGTCGCAACCGGAATCGCGACGGGACGACAATCCAAAAAGAAATGAGTTTCGAAAAGAGATTTGGAGTCGCCACCATAGTTTATTCTGGAAAACTACAGAAAAACCATAAAATGATAAGACACGGTCCGCGAAAACCAGATTCTGGTTCGGGAGTAGGTTACGCGTAGGGAAGGTGTTAGCACCCTACTACGCCTGCCCTAAGGCAGTACCTTTAACTAAATACACGAATATGATGTGGTTTTCAAAAATGTTTAACTATCCCATAAAATAAAATTCTAAATAAACAAAATATATTTTTTAGTTTTTTGGGCCCGACAAGGATTGACCTTGCTCCTACGTATTCTCATTCAGAATGAGAAATCAGAATTACGTAGTTCTTTTGAAACTGTTTGAAATGTTTGTTTGGAAATTGTTTGAAAATTTGTTCTGAAATGATTTTGGATTTTTTTGGGAAGTGAACCTGACAAGGACTAGCCTTGCTCCTACGTATCTCCACTTTTGATGGAGAATCAAGGATAACGTAGTTTTGGCTGAGAAATTGTTTATTGATTTGAAAGTGTTGATGTTTTTAGTTTTTGAACGTTTTATATATTTTGGTATTTTTATAAAAGACAAAGAGAAGGTTTTTAGCACAAGGACGATGCGAGCGATCACACGTGTGCTTAATCTTTAAAACGTATTTTTGTAATTTGTTTATAAGAAAGAAAGAAGAAGAGGTTTTTAGCACAAGGACGACGCGAGGGTCACACGTGTGCTTAAATATTTAAAATGTATTTTTGTAATTTTTTATAAGTAAGAAGAAGAGATTTTTAGCACAAGGACGACGCGAGCGGTCACACGTGTGCTTAAACCTTTAAAATGTATTTTTTGTAATTATTTTAGAGAAGAAGAAGAAAAAAAGGTTTTAGCACAAGGACGATGCGTGCGATCACACATGTGCCTAAACCTTTAAAATATTTTTGTAAATTCTTAATTATTTTTTTTAAGAGAAATAACGGTATTAAGCACTAGGACGATGCGAACGATCATACGAATACTCATACCGTTAATTACTTATTTAAGAAGACTTGAGAGTATTGAGTGTTAGGCTGATGCGGACGATCGCACGAGCACTCATACCATTATTTAAATTTTTTAGAATTGAGGATATTAAGTACTAGGCTGATGCGGACGATCGCACGAGTACTCATAATCATTATTTAATTTTTTTATATTTTTCATTATTTTTACTTATTGCCTTCCATTTTTTTTTCAGATTTTTATAATATTAAAATAATGTTTTCATGCATATTTAAAATAAAGTCTAAAAATAATAATTACTTAGTTATTTACGTAACACAAAATGATACTTACTTAGCTATTTAAAATAAAAAAAGCAGTAAAATTATTTACACAAGTGTTTTTAAGAAAGTCAAAATAAATAAATAAAAAATAAACCATATTTACTAAATGTTAAAAACATACTAAAACTATTTCTTAATTTTAATCTTATAATTTTTTAGAAAACAATTGCTTAAAGAAATAACGTTACCATCAAAAGCTTTAAAACCATTTTATAATTTTGCAATTTTATATATTTATTTCTTTTGTACCTTTTTCATTTTTGTCTTTTAGTTTTTTTTTTTATGGTTGCATCGTTTTTTATTAACAAATAAAATTGAAGTTTAAAATAAACAAATCCATTTAATAAAAATAAAATACAAAACACAAGACAGAAATTATAATGGTCAAACAAATACTAAAAGAGTAAAGAAAAAAACGAAACAACCAATACGCAAACAAACAAATACTAAGAGCATAAAAAAACAATTAAATAAAGATAGGGGTGTAGATGTAAAACCCTTCCCCTGGCAGCCGCTAGCCAAGCCCCAAACCCTTTTAGGTTTTTTTTTCTAAGCGTAGGTAAGAGAAAGGAGGCAAGCTCCCTTTTCTCCAAACCGGCAAGCTGCAACTGGTCGGCGCTTCCACCATTTCCTCTGACCATATTGCAATCAGTTCAAAACCTTTAATAGGATCCCTGCAAAATACCACTCATTTCAAGAACAATCCTCATCCCACTGCATCCTATCAGACATTTCAACAGTAACATTTTCTTCAAATTTTCTAAGTTGGGCAGCTTTCATATTGTCGTCATTGTAGGAAATGTTGTGAATGTCAATTTCATTGCAAATCGGACTGAATACCGACTCAATCTGTTTCGAATCTTCTTCTCTCGTGCTTGAATGACAAAGGCTTCTGGACACGGTCAATCAGAGGCGGCGCCTGAAGATGCTTCACCAAAGCAGGAATCGCGCCTCCTTCAATAAAAGCCAGGATCTGCCTAGTGTTGTTCCTTGTCGTGCTTCTGCTTGGGGGTGTAGTCGTTGTTGTTGACAGCGTCGACGGCGAGGGGCGCGAGAAGCGTGGCGTACTAACTCACGACCTTGCCGTTGAGAGAGGTGCTGACGGACTTCACAAGCGAGTCGCGGTTTGAGAGCTCCACAAGGACAGCCATGGCGGAGACCCTGGCCTTGCGGTTTCTTTTGGTGAGAATGACACCATTGGATTGACGGCGAGAACCAGGGAAAGGGAAGGAGGAGAACTCGTGTGAATTTTTTTTAGGAGGTCTCTGAAGGTGAGAGTGAGTTCAGAGTGAATCCCCCTCGTGTCTGCCTTAGGGGAGTCAAGGTCATGGGTTCTCTCTAGGACGTGGTCAGTGAGCCCCTCTCATGACTCTCCTCGCTGGATTCCAATGAAGACCTCACCTTCCTTCTTTTTTCCTTTTTCGTGTATCTTTCCTGATTAAAGCCATCCTTGATTAAAGTCATCCTGTTCAGACATCCTTTCACCGATAGGAGCGTTTTAGTTTGTACATTATGAGCGATACTATGCATGTTGTTGCAGGAAGGACAAGGCCCTATGTTAAGCCTGTTGTGATAGCTTGCAGGTGAAAAGCTCAATTCGTGCTTGCGATCATGGGAAGAAAGCAAAGCACCAGTCTGCTAGACTACTACCGTTTTCTTCTTTATTTTTTTCTTTTTTTTTTGTTTTTTTTTCTAAAAAAAACTAAATCAAATAAAATGAAATAACTAATGTATAAAAAAAAACTAAAATTAAAACATAACTTAAAAATAAAAATGAAAGAAAATAGCATAAAATAAAATAAAATAAAATAAAATAAACTCATTACAGTCAATTCGGACGAAATTGAGTGTTGATAATATTTTTTGTCTAAATATTTGCAACTACTCTTGAAATCAACATAAGTCACTTTAAGAAATTAACTCAATAACATATATGAACACAAGTCACATTACAAATTTTCAATAAGTTATATGAAATTAGCTTTCAACTACACAAATCTCATAATGATTTATTCACCCAGAATTTCATTTACTTTTCAAACAAATTTAGTTACTACATTTCCCTCAAACTCCAATATCCACAAAATAAAAATAACCATGCAAAAAAGCCCTTTTCTCACCGAACAAAGTTCAACCTTGGAGAAAGAAGACACCTTTACTTGTTGATGGAGAACGCGAGAAAGGTGGAATGCGACAATGCTGATGGAGTAACGTTAGGGGAGATCACCTTCGAACTCGCAATGGATGAATGAGAAAGTAAGGACAAATCACGAGAGAGAAGGGGAAAATAGCACAACACAAACGAAGAGAGAAAGGAAGAAAAGGGAAAATGTCGATAGAGAGAAGCGAGAATGATAATGGAACCAAGTTCGTCGACGATGGAGAAAGGAAGAGCGAGATGGATAGACGAGGGAGATATAGAGTGAGAGCTTTGGTGGAGAGAGAGTGAGAGCTTTCACGAGAGAGAAAGAAAATACAAAAAGTAGGGATATTCTCAAATAAAACCCTGAAATCCCTTTTTTCTTCACAAAACGTCATCCATATAACATTATTTATTTTAGAAAAACATTTAAAACGGTTTAATCCCGTCTCACTATTTGGCATTGTGAAAAGGTTGGCAAAAATAGTTGTTAAAGACACATTATATTAATTGCATATACACAAATAATTCATTTGGATGGGGGTGTTTAAAATAAATGTTTTACTCTCTTTAAAATTATTGTTTATTTAGTTTAAATGAATATCCTACTAATTTTCTTTTCTAAATGATTTCTTATTTTTTTCACCATCTTATAACTCTTATATCTGTCTCACAATAATGAAATGTATATAATTTATTTTTACAATTTCCATGTAATTATTATTCTTCTATTTTCATGGAATAATTTTCAATACTCAAAAATAATCTTTTACAACAATTTAAATTTCCTGTTATTAATTTAAAATATATTCCGTGCACTTAAAAAATACTTATTTACAAGTCTACAATTTATATATTAAAATTAGTTATTATAAATGCTACTTACATAGAAAATATTTGTTTCATAAAATATAGAAAATTAGCTCACATACAGAAAAAAAAAAAAATCATTTCATCACTCGTTCATTATTCCGTTGAACAAAAACGGCCGCGGTAATGTTAATAATATGACCGTTACATAGTGGGATCCGAATTGTGAATGTTTTTGAATTTTGTTGTTGTTTTATTGTTGTAAGCACAACAATAGGTGATTCTTAAACAACTAGTTCCCACAAAGGAAAGACACTCTTTTTCACTCTTCTCTCTCTCTTTCTCTCTGCAGCATCATCATGAGCAGAGAAATGACAATCCCAGTGATCAAAGAAGAAGACGAAGGAACAAAGGAAGTGGTTCAAGAAAAAGATGAAGAGGTTCAACGAAAAGGGGAAGAAGCGTCTCACCCTCACGCCTTTCATGTCTCTGGTCCTCGCAATTTGACCAATCTTAACTGGAGAGACCTTATCAGTTCTAGCTGGTGGGTATATCCTTTTCATGTTTTCCTCTAATTATTCTGCATCTGAGATAAATTTATCTTTTTGGCATGTGGGGTTCTTGTTTTTTTGGCCTCATTCGGCCAATGGTTGAACCTTAACTTGGCTTCTGGGTGTGGTTGTAGCGCGAACGTATGTTTTCTTGATGTCTGATTTGCTTTGAAGCTAATGGTGTGATGGGATTTTAGTTTTTAGCAAGAGCCTGCAAAGTTTAAAAACGGGTTTGTGGTGAGTTGAATTTTGGGGTATGAGACTGAAGGAAGTATCATGAAATGGAAAATGTTGAAATTTTAGCATAAGGGTTTTGAATTTCAGTCTTTTGGACTGAGAATTTTCATCAAATGGCAAACATAGCAAGATGTTTCTTGGAGATCATCTATCTCATTGTTTGATGTGTATATTCTTTTAGTTTCCTTATATTTTGATCATTTATTTGCCTTATTGGTCTTTGCTTTATGTATTAATCAGGGCCTAATTTTCTTACTTTGGAAGGCCTCATTTGTTTCGAAGTTGGACTGGTTTGTTTATAACATTCACCCATAGTTGCTTTATTAAGAAGTATTTGGTATAGAATTTTTGGTCTTATCATTCATTCCTTATGTTTAAATCTCCATTTTGATACCCAATTTCTTAGTTGTTTTCCTTAAGAAGTAATTGGAATAGAATTTTGGGACCCTGATTTAGGGGATTTCTTCTAAATTATTATTAACAATAACATTAGTATGATTGCTTATTAATATTAGGAATTGTTATCGACAAAGACTTGATTTATCCATTTAGAATTTTTAATTTTAATCTATAACATATTGTTCTTTTATGGGTTAATTTTGCCACCCTTTACTTTGGGTTAATATTAAAATTTTGAAAATTCTGAAAATTAAAAAAAAAATCATGTCTAATTTGATTTCTCTAAGATAACTTACATTTTAAAAGTACATATTTTATTTTTAAAGTTTCCAGATCAAAAATTTCTATCTTTTGTTTTTAAAATGACCCGTTGACTCATTGATCTAACATAGAGCCAGATGGAACCTAAAATTCATAACCTGAACATGGATCTGATGCGAGTGTGGTATTGTTATTACTTGGTTCATTGGATTGGACCGATCACATTAGATGGTTTACTTTAACATCTATAAATTGTTAGTCATGTCTAATTCAGTTTCAAATATTTGAAAACAATAATCTTTTTCTCATTCATTATTTCTCGTCTATAAAACTCTTCACTGTATGGTCTATGCTTGTAACTCTGAGAGTATCATATTTCCCATTAACTCTAGCAAAAGTACCTTATGATCCTGATAGAAAAGCTTTCAAGCTATACTGGGTTAGAGTACATTGTTGCAATGTATGTGTACTTAGGGCGGGATCAAGGGCTAAGCATGCTTTAGGCATCCAAGAAAAGAAGGCCTAAACAATACTTTTTAGTACTGCTTTAGGCCTTCAAGAAGAAAAGGCCTTAAAAAAATTGTTTAGTAATAATTGTTTTAGACTTTCAAGAAAATAAAAATCCTCAAAAAGCTCTTATTCTTTATACTTTAAGTTTGTTTTAGGCTTCCCAAATCCTTGTACTGACGAGTATTTTGTTTGTTTGCAGGAAGGATGCAAATTACAAAAGAACTGTGATTGCTTGTTTTATACAGGCAGTTTACCTGGTTGAACTTGACAGACAGGAGAACAGAAGCCCAGAAAATGCTCTAGCTCCAAATTGGTGGATTCCCTTCAAGTACAAACTCACTCAAACACTGATTGATGAAAGAGATGGATCCATTTTTGGTGCAATACTTGAATGGGACAGAGCTGCAGCAATGGCTGACTTAGTTCTAATCAGACCAAGTGGTGCCCCCAAAGCCGTTTTAGCTCTAAGAGGAACATTGCTCAAAAGCCCTACAATGCGCAGAGACATCGAAGATGACCTTAGATTTCTAGCCTGGGAAAGCCTGAAGGGCTCTGTCAGATTTAAGGTAGCTCTGGAGGTACTAAAATCTGTCTCAGACACATATGGAAGCAGCAATGTTTGCATTGCAGGGCATTCATTGGGAGCTGGTTTTGCTCTTCAAGTGGGAAAAGCATTGGCAAAGGATGGCATTTATGTGGAGACACATTTGTTCAATCCACCTTCTGTTTCACTGGCCATGAGTCTGAGAAACTTTGGGGAAAAGGCTGAGTTGGTTTGGAAGAAACTTAAATCCATGCTTCCTTCTTCAAGTAGTGAAGAAGGTCAAGGTATTGGCAATGGTGGAGACAAGACTGTGAGCATAGGATTGAAGAGTTGGATACCACGGTTATCTAGCTTCAAGAATGCTGGTTTTGGGGTGGGAAAATGGGTTCCTCATTTGTATGTAAACAACAGTGACTATATATGTTGCTCTTACACAGACCCTGAATGCTCAGAGGAGAAGAATGATGGTGACAAGGAGAATGTTTGTCCGACAAATGGACATGGACAAGTTGCAGCGAAGTTGTTTGTGGTGACTAAGGAAAAGCAGAAGTTTCATGAAGCTCATGCCTTGGAACAGTGGTGGTCTAGTGATGCACAACTTCAGCAGGCGAATAGCAAACTCATAAGCAGACAGCTTAAATCATTGTATACAACAACTAATGTTTCTTCGCAGGTAATGCAGGGAACACCACCCAGATAACAATGGTTTGGAAGAAGTGAGTACCTAGGTAACAACAATGTTTGTGAAATAAGTTCTAGGTCATAATTATACTTTAGGCTTTCTTATAATCTTCCTTCAAACAGATTGTACCATTGTCTTTCTTATAATCTTCAGATAGTGATCGAAGAGCTAATTCATGATTCAAAATTATTTGGTTCAATTTCATAACTAAATTACATTTTTAATATTATTAAATAGGAGTAAATTTATTTGTGGTACCTTTATTGATCAAACTAGTTACTGGTTTTCATAATCAAAACTACGCGGTCACCGATTTCAAGAGAATTTTTTTTGTAGAAAAATATAATATGATTTTTGAAAATTATAAATCTTAGGAATTATGTTCTTTTGGTTTGGTTGATGAAAACATATCTGGAAATATTTATATAACTTTTTTAAAATAGGGGGATAAATCATTTTATTAAACTTTTTATCTTATCGTAATATTGATTTACTTAATAAGAAAAACATTGTATTTTTTTTTTCATTAATTTTTTTATGTTACATCTGAAAAGTTTGATTTTCACCCTTTCATGTGAGAAAGTTGTGTGGAAATTTTGAAGAATTTTTTTTTTCAGGAAACATTGTTTTACGGAAATGTTTCTCTTCTACAAAATATCATTAGATGTTTTTTCTTTATCTCCTAATAAATGTCTTATTTTACTTGTAGTCCTAAAGTTTATCTACAGTATTTGAAAAGAAAGAAGTATTGGGTGAGTATAGGATAACAGAAATCCACATTGCACATAATTGGGGGGTATTTCTTTCCGTATAGCCTTATAAATTTGTGTAATTCAAAAATCTATCAGATTATATACTTTGAAATACAAATTTGTACTCTTTGTATTTTGGAATATACATTTTAGAATATAAATTTTTGAATTTATTTTACCATATTTGTTTTTGTAACATCCCAATATCTCACACCGGATAATTCATAATTTATATATTGTAACATTACATTTACGGTAACATCCCGTAATCTCACACTTAAAAATTCACAGTTGATATACATATTTTAAA